AATATTTTTTTGTAAGTTTACATGAGGAGTTGTGAATTCATATTAAAGCTCACGAGCTCATATCAAGGCTCGCGAGCTCATACAGGCTCGAGAGCCAAGCCAAGCTCAAATTATATGGGCTCAGCTTGGCCTGAGCCTAACTTTTAAATTTAGGCTCGACCGGAGAGCTTTATTTCTGACTTCTTGTCATTATTACATTTTCTATAAGATATTTCATCAGAAAAATGGTTTTCTTCGAAATAATAAATGGATTGTTCTTCTATCGGTAAGATTAGCTCTTCAAGACCTATAACTTCTTCTCCTTGTTGTTCTACTTGATCAAAATTGAGTTCATTGATTGTAATTAACTCACCATTCCACATTGATAGCATGCCTTCTATCAATTAGGTTAGCTCTTTACAATTTATAAAACTTGATAATTCTCTATTGACACCTTTCTTCTGTACATGTCGTTCTTCTTGTCCGAACCTTGTCCATTAGTTATATTTAACTCACCTACTCCTATAGTATTCTTGTTTTTAGGATTATTTTCAACAACATTTTGGTCAAATATGAACTTAAATAATAAGCCATCTATGAATTTCATTTTATTTACCTCCACATCTAATATTACCTTGGTTTCCTCATCGACATTGGCAATTTCATAATAGTTCTATATGAATTACTTAAAGTAAATATTTGAAAGTTTCAAAGATTAATTTTTTTTGTAATTAAATTCAACTTACCTCTCCCATTATTGTGTTTAACAAAACGATTAATATATAATTGAAAAAAATTGAATTTTTTAATCTCTGAAAACTAATTGTGTCCCTTTATATATTCAATTTTATATAATTCAAAGATAGCAATTATATGTGTCTCTTAAAACAATTCCTTGCAGAAAGTTGTATCCAAATAAATTTCTTATTAAAAATTTATAAGTGCATGAAAGATTAGCAACTGGTTTGAAGAAGCATCTTGTATTCATTATCTGCATAATACAAGAAAATCTGAACGTTTGGGTGTTCATATAATTTATAAACAAACAAATTAAAAAAAAAGAAAATTAGGTTTTTGGTGATTATAGTACTTTCCTAAAAATTTTACAATATCTTTCCTTTACTATGTAA